TTGTTATTAATGGTTCCCTCAGTGAAATCCTTCAGTTGATCGATTGGAATCATCCCTTCAGATGAGACAGGGATATCCTTAGCGGATGCTACTTGTCTTTGGGGATAATCACTCTCTAGAATTTCTGGGTGCTTGCCAGGTGCGTGGGTAGATTCTTCTTCCATCAAGATTCCCACCCTATCTTTTAGCTTGTCAATTCTAGCATCTTGATTTTGCATGCACTTGGTCAAGCCACCGATTGATTTCATCAAGTTTGCCAACTGCTCCTCCACAGATGAAGTGTTTGTCACTATGGCTTGGATGATTGTCGTGGACGATGGAGAGTAGCATGAATTTTCACACAGATTGATCCTTAATTGGCTCACGCTATATGGTGTAAGTGGGGAGGATCCATCACTTGAAGCATCATCATCTTCCTTCACAACAGAGTGCTTGGATCCGGAGAGGTCAAGCAGAGCAAGACTTTTCTTGATCTTTTCAGCAACATCGCTTCCTCCTTCAGGTACGTTTGTGGAAGATCTTGCTCCTTTTGAGGATGAAGATCCGAAAATAGGGGTTGATGCGAACGACACTTGGGGTGCTTGTTGTCCTAACGAGCTTTCTTTGCTCCTCGTAACTAGTCCAAAGCTTCCAAAGGTAACATCGAGGATGCTTTCCACATCAGCATAGAACCTGGAATTAGCAGCCTTGGTGGAAGTTGAACTGGAGTTGATTTTCTTTGAAGTCATTTCAATGTTCTTAAACTTTGGTGATTGAAAAGTTGAGATGAGAGGTAGAGATTGTCCCACTGGGTGTGCCAGAATTTGTAGACAATAAATTTGCGTCAAGGAAATAATCGAGACCGAAAAATTAATTTCAAATATTTGAGTGTTACAATCTCTATGAATCCTCTGATTCTTCTTTCCAATAGTAAATAAATTCAAGGGCCTTTGAGCTTGATCTTGAATATGTAGTTGTAGCCACGAACGATGATCTTGTTCTTGAGCTTTAGCTTGATTGCTTGAACTTGACCTTGATTTTGTTCTTCGTTCTTGAGCTTGAACTTGATTTGTTCTTCGTTCTTGAGCTTGAACTTGATTGCTTGAGCTTGAAACTTGTGGAGGAATTTGCAGTGTTTGATCAACGAGCTCTCTCTTGCTTCTTGTTATAACTTCTGGTGTCTTTTCTGGGTTATGAAGACCCCTATTTATAGTTGTGGAAGGGAGGAGTTATGATAAGAACAACTCTTTCCGACCAATCAGATTGAAGCGTGACGAGGCCACATTTGATTGATCAGACCATGTCACTTGCACACGTGGCGCGATTTCATTGGCCTTTTAATGTGACTTGGCATGCCTTGTCATTTTGACACGTGGCATGATCCTATTGGCTCTCCCGTTTGACTTGGTGCACCACGTTTGATACGTGGCACCAAACTGGGCCTCTAGGAAGATGATATCTTGGGCCTAATGAAGTGGGCTCATCACTTGTAGCCCAATTAAATGGGTTAGTCCAATGGATTAAGACTTATTTATTTAATCCATATGTTTTAAATTTATATAATTAATTCAATTATATTAGCCCATAATATTTATTTGAATTAGTACATTTAACGTATAGTCTAAATTATTTATTGAATTTAAATTCAATAAGTTTTATATGCCTACAAGTAGTTCCGTTCAAATAAAAGGAATTAGGAATACCGTGTGAGGAAATGTCGCCGGAAAATGAAGATGCATCAGTTTCTCCTTGGAATTAGAGAACGTTCAACCAATTATCCACCATGAATATTTCTTACTTTAAGCATATACTTCTTGCTGTAATATTACGTTAATTAGTATTGTTTTAAGGCAAATAACGACTGAATTATTTTCTTTGTCATGTAAATAAATTTGAGGTTGTTCTTAATCTTTCCAGAAAACTGATTTGCTCACAGTTTGTAATTTGTTTATTAGCCTAGTTAACAAGTACTATGCTTTGGTGTGTGCTCCTATAAATTTTCTGTACTCTATATTTGAGAATGTAATTTATTAAGACTTCAAAGCTATGTTTAGATTAAGTTTGTTATCAAGATGGTGTAATAAATTATCCAGCATATATACTGTTATATTTGCTCTGTTAATACATCAAATTGGGAGTAGGTGCATCAACCATCTTATTAGACCTGTCATATGTCATCTGTACATGAATTTTTTTTAAATCAACTATTTACATTAGACCCTTATGGTCCATCCCTTCCCTGAATCCCGCACATAACGGGAGCTTAATGTGCACCGAACTGCCCCTACTTACTTGTGGGGCTTTGGCGATATGTATCATAAGTTCATAACAACAATATGGGTTCATCAATAAAATTAAGGAGTAGATTTCCATCCCATTTTCCAAATAAGAAAATAGCATCCAATTGTCCAATCATTTGATAATTAAAGTCACCTTTGATATTATATGACGATGAATTGAATTTGAAATTTCTTAACATTCCCTAAAAAGGTATTGTTAATCTCATAAAAGTAATGAGTTGGATAAATGTCAATTACACCTATAAATACATAACAGAATTGAAATTCTAAGTTATGAGCTAGCTGACCTTAGGTATGGTGAACATAAATGCTAATATGTTATCTAATGTTAAATTGAAGCTTCAAACAAAAGGCCCATTAGCTCAGTTGGTTAGAGCGTCGTGCTAATAACGCGAAGGTCGCAGGTTCGAGACCTGCATGGGCCAACTAAGTGTTTATTTTTAGTCGTTTTGGCTGAAGAGTTCAGTTCAATGGAACTTTCACAAGGAGCGATTTTACTATGCCTGAATAGTAGTTGTACACAAGAAGTAGCCTCTTTAATTTGTGGTTTCCTTTTGTCATCATTTGACATTTGTCCTCCTATATGATAAAAATAGGGTTTAGGGCTTCTCCTCTTCCAAGTTCATTCCTAGGGTTTCAGTCCTCCAGTGTTTTCTTCCACCATTAATTTTTTTATGTTTCTCTTTGCAAACACACGATACGAGGGGCGGATACGAAGCATGAATGAAAACCTAAGCAGTTCATTTTTGATAAAGCCTAAGCAGTTCGTATAAACTTAGTTTCTTTGGAAATACTTTAGGAAGATTCAGGATGCTGAAATTCCTTTAAAAAAGTGCATAGAGATGGAACATATGGTTCGTAATGCTGATGGTTCGTCCATACGGCCCAAAGACATAGATTGATACGCTGTTTCTTTAATCAAAGATATTTCCAAATGATTGAATTCAGAAAAGATGGTTAAAATATCATGGTATAGCCAGTTTTCACACTGGTTAATGAAAAATAGCCAGCGTTTATCAAGTCAATGAAAAATAGCCACTATTTTACTGCAACAGGGACCGGTCCAGTATAATATACGGGAGTTCTGGTGCATTTGTGTACGAACTCCAGCATATTATGCTGGACCGGTATACTTTGCTAACTCCTGTAAAATTTGCGGGAGACTGGAGCACCAGTGCTCCAAACTCCAGTATATTATACTGGACAATTATACTTGCTGGAACTCCCGTAAAATTTGCAGGCGTATTTTTCCGAATTTTGAACAGTGTTTTCGCTCAGATTTAAAGTGGCTAAATTTCGATGACTTTTAAACTTGGCTATTTTTCAACGACCAGTGCTAAATCTGGCTATTTTTGAATTTCTCCCGAAAAGATGTGAACACATGATTTGTTGATTAAATGGACTTGAATATATACTTCCATTCTTTTCCTACCCCTATGGCACATAGAGAAAAACTTAGTTGTATCCCATGGCCTCGTGAAAAATAGCATCACCAGTACTAGATAGTAGATACTCCCTTAGTTTCAATTTATGTGTCTTGCTTTTTAGTCTCTGATACAAAAAGAATGATATATTTTTATCATGATTACTGCTGACACTTTCTTATAAGAATGACGCGACAAGTTTTACATGATTCAAAGGGTATTTTTGATGTGTTATACATACCTTAATTAGTTTAAGACCACGAGATTCAATTTTATTTTTAAATTTCATGTCCAGTCAAAGTAAGATATATATGGAATATTAATGTTGGTTAGCTAAGATTTGACATGTTAAGCTAAGATTCTTCGCCCATGGAATTTTTTTTAAAAAAATGCCATCATATTCAATACCCTTTGTTCAAAGAAATTTTTTGTTAAAAAATAGCATATGGTATTCATGAAGTTTGAGTCCATATAAGAGGCAATGTATTATAAGAAAGATTCCTACTGACAATACTTGTAATCTTGGAATTACAACTTCAGAAGTGAAGTACCATGTGGTTGAATATTTTGTCCTTTTCTATACAAACATCCTGTTCTGACACAAGAAATGCTCTTCCAATTACCCAAGGCTCGAGCAACAAAATGGTCTTTGAAAGATGAATTTTGTAGCTTAGTATTTTAGAATTATCATTAATTAGAAGGGAAATTTCATGTTAACTTACACACCCCATATACTAAGGGTCAGACACCATTCCAGCACAAATATCCATAACTTTCCTCCTATCAAGGTCTGGTCATCCTCATGATCCCTTATTTATTTTGTCACTTTCTTCGTAAAGATAATCTTTGTAATTTTGAGAAGCACACAAAAAGATGAACATCCACTTTTTTTATGTTCTCTTAAACTCCATACCCATTTCCCCCCCTCTCTCTCCCAATTGAGTACTCCATCATTCTCAAATTATCTGTCGTATTTTATCTGTCGTGTTTTTTTTTATACAGCCGTAAAGAAACATTAATTAGAAGGATTTTTTTACTAGTTTACCCTTATTTATCTTTTAAGATATCTCTCTCTTCATAAATATTTATTCTATTATGTCTCATCTCCATCTTCAAGAACAATTACTACTAAGGGGAAAAAGAGGAAAAAAATATTAATTTTGTCTTGAACTTCTAAAATGATAAAATAATTTGAGAAAGCTATTTTTAGAAATTACGACAGATAATTTGAGACGGATGGAGTATATACATGATGTTAAAGACTTAATGTTGGTGCTAAAGTTCACATGGAGATATCGTGAAGTAGGTGATTCTTGTTAACAAATATTATGATAACAGAGAAATACCCGAACAAATAGTACTTACCATATAGTAATATTACCTTGGTAAATGGCAGTAGTACAAATCAAAAGACTCGCGCATTCTAATCAGAAACAAGTACCTCAAGATCTCACTTAGAATCATGTCCCATTCATAGAGTCAGATCCAGAGTACTTGCCCCTCTTCTTGCATTTTCCTTTGTAGCATAATTAGCCTCTTCTTTCAATCTTGAAGTAGACATCGACAATGATAAAGTACTCCCATTATCGTCGTCGTCGTCGTCGTGGTGGCTGTTATTTTTTTGCTTTACTCCTAGAGATAAATTCAGGTCAATTAGGTCATAATCTATAGCCTTCCTTTTCAAAAGACTCAGTCTTGCTTTAGCTTTTGCAGCTCTTTGGAATAATGGAGTTAGCTTATCCATTTTGTCTTTCATTTCATTTGTTCTCCAAGTGGATCTTTCACTAATGAAAGAAGGAATCCCAGTAATGGAATCTTGATGAATTGCCCTACTATAATTGCTGCCAAAAATCCTCTCACTGAGTTGAGTGTAAAATTCTGGTGTGACATTCATGTCAATTGTGCTTTCTGGACAATTCCTAGCAGCATCTCCATATCTGGGGAAAAGAGAAAATCTCTCATATCAGTTTAATTTGGACTGAGACGAACTTAAATAGAGCGACATAGACACTAAAAATTCATATAGCTAATCGGCTACTACTTGCTTGGAATTCAGGCGTAGTTGATGTTATTGTGCCCATTAGAAAGCAAAAGGAAAGATAAAGAAAACTTATTTACAAAAAAAGGTAAGATAAAAAGCCTATAATGAGCACAATAAATTTGCATACCTAAAAGTGGAATTGAACCTTTGAATGAAGGTTGGGAGCATAGGGAGTTCACTCATGTTGTAAATGTTTGGATCTCCACCTTCCATAAAAGGCCTATAATTTGCTACACCTGTGAGGTAAGGAAATGAAATTAGTGAATTAATTACCCTAAATTTATAAATTAAAAGGATAACAAGCATACCTTGAGTTGGGTCATCAATCTTCTTGCTTCTATACATCTAAAGAAACAAACCAAGATAAAAAAACATACAACAAGTAATTAATCAGGGAAAAAAAAGGATAAGCAGTCATATATATAAAACCTTTTAGATTCATTGAGAATAACCTTATATTTTTTCTTGAATTTATATGAATCACGAACTTTATTAGATACTTGCATGGTTTTGTTCTAGCTAGGCACTTAAATTTACCTGCAAATGGCTCTTGACATGAGCAATGTTAAGTCCTTTTATGTTCATCAATTGAAGAACTAATTTGGGTGTTGCTCCTGCTCCAAAGAAGAAAGGAAAAAAGAAACATAAACATTTAAACAAAGATGAATTACCCTAATAACAAACTCAAAAAGTGATTGTTTTGTCTGATCAGTGCGAATCCAGATTAGTTGGATCAATGGATTATTAATACCTAAGGACTAAAGAAGAAAACTCAAAAACAAAAAACAAAAAAACAAAAATAATCAAGAAAATTCTAGAAATTTACTTTCTTGTCCACCAAGTCTTTCCACAGCCTGAACAAAACGGAGATGGAGATCAGTTGTCCATCGAAGTCTAACCATCTTGGATCGAACATAAGGCCTCACGGGGAGCTTCTTTTCGCTCTCTTCAACAGTACTGTTGCTTGAACTTCCTCCATCCTTGGGTAATTTGATCGAAGTGTTATCGTTCTCTTCTTTATCTTTGTCGGAATTAGGGCTTGTCCTTGAACATCCAGTGTCATCACTGTCTTCCATTATTCCTGTTAATAGCTCCAGCTTCTCTTTTTAGCTTGTCCTAGATCAAATAGAGAAGAAAGAAAGGAATTGAAGAAGTAAATGATGCTTTTAGCATAGCCTGTGATCAATTTTTGATGACTTGGGTCCTCTTGTAAACTGCTGAACTCTACTTGTTCTTCTTTCTATTTGAGGTGAACTGTACTATACAAGAAAAATATTCTACGTAGAAACAATTGAAAATCAAACCCTGGACTTCACCTAGAAGATGGAAGACTTCTCTCTCTCTTCTCTCTCTCTCTCTCTCCAATTATCTATTTCATGCAGATGAATATATAGTAAATGCAACCATTCCTGGATGATGTAATAAGGACGCTACAAAGAGGTGAATTCGGAATTTAAAGTTTATAGCTTTGTGCTACAACCTCAAGTAAATATACAATACGTAATAATTAGGTCAACAGTCAAATATTTATAGATATTTAATAATTTTTAATATATATATATATATAAGCTATTGGGTTCACGTAAATCCACAAATATGCGCAAAATAAAAAGGGTAAAAAGGATATGAAACTGATCATGTGAGACCAGCTCTTCTTTGTACAGCTTCTGTAGAAAAGCAGCTCGGCCTCTGTAATTGATATGGTCCAAAATGTCTTCCCTAAATCATTTTTTATTCTGTGGTTGTTGAAAATATTTCCAACCAATGAACAAAATTAATTTGCGTGAATAATTCATTTTTCAATATGACTATTTTGACTATCTTGACTCTTACTCCACAAAACTTTCTTAAACAGACGTAAATATTACTAATGTTTAATACTACTATAAATTATCACTGAAACACTATCTCCACACCACATGCCAACACATTTTACGATTAGTATATGTAACTTACCTTAATAACTCAGGAAACACTGAAAAATAATGTACAAAATAGTTTTAGAAGAAAAATCATGTTCGTACGAAAATATTTTCGGATATCACCCCACAACACTTTAAATTAACCTATTTATAAATATAGCAATGGTAGATACTCCTATTAGAATATAAAAAGTGGCAGCCGGTGCATAAAGTATCTTATGTTCACGTAGGGTTTGGGAAGAGTCGCACCTTAAAGGGGTTGTAATATAGGCAGTCTACCCTGATTCAAGTATTAATGGCTGATTCCACGGCTTGAACCGGCCGTGACCTACAGTAGAATATACATTATGTATTTCATAAAAATTCTGAAACAAGTACTTAGTCAATTTTGTGGACTGCTTCAACACCATTGAAAACATAACACTCCACCAATTTCTGAAGCAGTACAAAGGCCAATAAAACTTTAAAATACTCTTGTTTATTGATTAAGTCCAATTATGATCAGAGTGAAAATTTTATTACTCTTGTCGCTTTAGGTGCGATTTTATTTTGTACCTCACACAACTGACACTAGTTGTTTGAGGCCTCTTTTTATCTCACATATTTGTGAACCCGTAACTTACATATCTGGGTCCACAAAATTTTAGGACCCACACAGTAACAAGTGTTGGGACCAACCTAATGAAGATTAGCAATTTTCGGTTTTAATATAATAACATCATTATCAAAAGATTCCAACATAAACATTGCAGCTTTTATTTATTTTCCAAAATCTCCCTCTTTCACACAATCACATTGTTAGGTAGGAAATTTTCTCGTGTAAATTGTCCCATTTGGCCCATCCAATTTAATTTAATTATTGAGCAATCTTGCATGACAAATATATATAATTACATATAACTACCAATATTTCTGCCTTTTCCAAGTTAAAGAAAATGATTAATCGTTCAAACTGATTAAGTCAAAATCTACGTTTTCATCGTAAAATGGAACTCTCCTTCCTCATGCTCTCGGCGCATGTTAGTTAACATACGCCGCCTGTATCAGTCATGGCGAAAGGGAGAGGTAGAGGACGCGGCAGACCTAAGACACTACCCCTAGCTACCTTTGTAAGCTTGGTGGGAACACGTAACCCATCACCGACAGAGTAAATGACGCAAAAGATAACTACACCAACCTCCATCCCCAATTTAGATTCAGCTACTATCGGAGGCACTACATGTGAAATTGTCTCTTCATCGAAGAGCTCTGGTATCTCAAGGAGGTTAGATCTGAACACTCCAGTGGCAATTGGTCAATTAGCCCCTTCCCTGCAAATGCCAGCTAATGGAACAATGAATCAAGATAAAAAACGAGTAAGTAACCAATGGAGTTCGGAGAAATCAACAGTGGCAGAGGTAGTGAATGCTGATGAACCTACCAGACCTAAAGCACCATGGACAACTCTATTTCAAAAGAATAGGTTTGCCACCAATGGTATATCACTTTCCTATATGCTCCCACAAATTATTGATGGTCAACATGTGGTTCAATTAGATAAGCTAGAAGTAGAAGAGGAGGAGAACAAGTGGAGATATGCACTGATAGCATACATCATAGGTGATGGCCCAGGTTACAATGCAATGAAACGATACATCAATTTGCATTGGGCACATGTTGTTGAGCCTGAACTGTTCTATCACGATGAAGGCTATTATATCATCAAATTTCAGTCTGCAGCAGATGCACAAGAGATACTATGTGTTGGCCCTTACTCTATTGCTAACAAGCCCATCATCCTAAAACCATGGACTCTAGATTTTGATTTCACAGAGGAATTCCCTACTATTATACCGCTATGGGTAAAGCTTCCTAAACTACCTATGTCGTGTTGGGGAGTGATAAGTTAGGATTTTACCATGATTATACCCCTTACTTGCTATTGCTTTTGTTACAAATTGCCACAAAATAATCCCAAAAGGCTTACAAGTTGTGCTTGATTGCAGATTTGAGCGAAAAGGTGACAAATGTCAAAGATCGGCTCAAAACGGAGTGAAACTTGCCAAGTGTCAAGAACAAGTGAAGTTGAGGAACAGGAAGACCTAGCGCGGACCGCACTGATATGCCACGCGGCTGCGCTAGGAGATTCAGAGAGGGGTAAATTGAAGTGCAAGCCACGCGGCCGTGCTCCATTTCTGCGCGGTCCGCGCAAGGGAAGTTCAGAGAACCATCAGTGCAGGCTTAAGTCCCACGCGGCCACGCTACATATCAATGCGGTCCGCATGAAGGAGATTCAGAGACCTGGAGATTTGACCAAGTCAAGCCATGCGGCCGCGCTCCATTTCTGCGTGGTCCGCGCCGACCCTCCGTCGCGGCCGCGCTACATTTCTACGCGATCCGCGGCCCCCAACTTCAGAGATGAGATTTGAGAGTTCAAAGAGCCTACGCGGCCGCGCTATCTTTTTGCGCGGTCCGCGCTGACCCCGCAGGGGTATTTCTGTCCAGATTTTTCAGCTCGGTATAAATAGATCTTTTTACCATTTTTAGGTTATGTTTTAGCTTCTGAACGAAGGCTGCGCTCGTGAGACGTGTTGTGTAGCCTATTTTGGTATTTTTACTCTTGAATATCATAGATTCTAATTAGCAATAAATTAACATGTTCATTTCATCTTCTATTTCTACTGTTTCTTATTTAACTATGTCTAGCTAAACCCATTAGCTAAGGTTGGGGCTCAACCCTAGTGTGGGTAGTTAATGGGTGTTGCATTCTAGGGTGAGATTGAGATTGGGTATTTGTTATTTGGGTTAATTTTGTGTTTCAATCTAGAATTTGTGGTTGCAAACATGAATTCAAGCTTAGTGGGTCTAACTCTTCTTGAGAAAGAGAGTCATATGACCCTAAAAGTTGACCTAACAAGGAATTGGGATGGACCCATGAGAATGGTAGTCCCAATTAACGGGTTAAACCTCGAAAGAGTAACTACCCTACTTGAGCCCTAGTTGCTCGGTCTAATTGGCCTACCTAATTGGTCTCGAGAGAGTCAATTGGGCAAAATCGTTCTCTCTACCGAGAGGTGTGAGAATGAGTGCAATTGTGCAACGGTTATAGCAATAAACCCAGATTTATCAGTCTCCCCTTAGTAGTTTCTACCCGTTAGCTAGCCACCTAGGTAGTGTCACGACCCTAGTGCCTTTTCCTATATTAAGCACAACTTAGCAATATTCTCCTAGCATAATTTAGTTTGAATCATTAGTTTTACAAGAGTAGTTTAAAAAGAAAACCCCAAAAATGTGTGAAGCGACATTAGAAGCACAACCGCAACTCTAGGCTAGACAGATATTCTAACTCCTTTACTAGCTCCCTATGGAATTTCGACCCCGATCCACTATTCGGGTATTAGTTATTGCTACCCACTCTTCCTACCATTGTGTAGTGTTGAGACGGCCGCGATCACTTTTTGGCGCCGTTGCCGGGGAGCTTACGGTGTTGACTATCTGTGTAGCTAGTTTTGTATTTTGCTTCTCTTTCCTTCTTGTTTACTAATGTTGGTGAAGAGATCTATCAGGTAAAAAGGGCTCTCAAAGGATATGACCCTCAAGACAATTCTCGAGGGGGAGGAGGTTGAAGATATTGATCAAGATGAGCTACTGGCACCTCAAGTACCACGTAGAGGTAGAAATGCCAATGCAAATCCGAATGAGCAAATCCCAGACCCTCCTCCGCCACCGCCAAGAGTGGCTCCAAGGGTGCCGCCAAATCAAGGTTATGCTAGTGCTATTGTTCCTCCCCGAATCCGGGCGGGGAACTTTCAAATTACAAATGTCATGTTGACTTTGCTCGAGCAAAGAGGGTATTTTACGGGCGCCTCCGACCAAAATGCTTACAAGCACTTGAAGGGGTTCGTAGATACTTGCTGGGGCAGCAAACAAACAAACGTGTCAGAGGATGCGTTGCGATTGAGGCTTTTCCCGTTTTCTCTTCGGGGCAAAGCGTTGGACTGGTTAGAAAGGTTACCAAATCATTCTATCACCACATGGGATGAATTGGCGGACAAATTTATTGCCAAGTTCTTTTCTCCAAGTCATATGGCGGCTCTTCGGGACGAGATTCTAGCCTTCAAGCAAATGCCAACGGAACCATTGCATGAGATCTGGGAGCGATATAGAACAATGGTGAAGGAGTGCCCTAACAACGACATGACTGAGGCGATGATCCAGCAGACTTTCTATAGGGGCATCAACACCACGAATCAATGCATTGTGAACCAATTGGCCGGTGGGAACTTTATGAAACTTTCTTACCAAGAGGCATGTGACGTACTTGATGAAATGGCGGACACCTCTTCGGCATGGCAAAGCCGAGCGAATGTACCCCAAGGTGACCCCACGGTCATCCATTTGCACAAGGAGTTGAGTGATCATGGCCAAGCTATTGCCGAACTTACAACAACAATGAATCAGTTGGCGAAGGCGCAATTGCAACAAGTACAAAACCCGCGCCAAGTCAATGCAATGGAGAATGTTTCTATGCTAAAAAGGAGGCAAAGAGGGCAACAACAACCTCAAGGTAATGGTGAGCAGTTTGACAACAACAATGATGGTGGTGGTTATTCGAACGAGTGTTTTGATGATCAAAGTGAGGAATGCCAATATGTCAATAACTACCAAGGAAATAGAGGAAATCAAGGGAATCAACAATGGCGCCCCCAAGGCAATTGGGGCAATCAACAAGGAGGCGGCAATTGGAATAACAATAATCAACAACAAGGTGGTAACAATTGGAACAATAACAATCAGAACAACAATTGGGGTAATCAAGGTAATAACCAAGGCAATTGGAACGGGAACAACAACAATTGGAACAACAACAATAGCAATCAAGGAGGGTGGAATAATGGTGGTAGGGGGCAAGGCTTTCAAAGGCCCCCCATGTTCCAACAACCAAACAATCCACCCCCCTTTCAGTCACAAGGGCCTAGTTCTTCTGGAAGTGATATGGGACGGATAGAAATGATGTTCGAGCAGATGATGAAAAAGAACCAAGATTCTGACGCACAATTGGCTTCGCATAACACATCTATCCGGAACCTAGAGGTGCAAATAGGACAAATCTCTCAAGCTTTAAATACCCGACCAAAAGGTGCGCTACCAAGTGATACGGTAGTGAACCCGAAGGGGGGTAACAATCATGTGATGGCGGTTACAACTAGGAGTGGAAGAGGCGGTGATGTGCATGCCTCGGTTGAGAATCAAGTTGTGAATGATGAAATTGAGTTGCATGATGATGATGCACCTTTGAATGTTGACAATGTGGTTGAACCAATAGTGACAAATGATGTGCGGATTGATATTGATGATGAGGCCGGGGTAGAGACTCAAGATACCGTGAACCCGTCTAGGGAACACATTATTGATATACCCGAGCCGGCGGTGCCCAAGGCCAAGGCACCCTTGCCTAGACCACCTCCACCATATCCTCAGCGGTTAGCAAAGCAAAAGAACGACAATCAGTTCAAGAAATTCATAGACATGATGAAGAGCCTCACAATCAATGTTCCTTTAGTGGAGGCACTTGAACAAATGCCTGGGTACGCAAAATTTATGAAGGATTTAGTCACCAAGAAGCGTTCTATGGAGTGTGAAACAATAAAGATGACGCACCAAGTTAGTGCGATTGTGCATTCTATGGCCCCGAAACTAGAAGACCCTGGAGCTTTCACTATTCCTTGCACTATCGGAAGTGCGGACTTTGCTAAGGCCCTATGTGACTTGGGGGCTAGCATTAATCTGATGCCGTACTCAGTCTTCAAGACTTTGGGAATTGGGCAACCTAGGCCAACCTCAATGAGACTTCAAATGGCGGACCGGTCGATGAAGAGGCCTTTAGGTATAATCGACGATGTGCTTGTCCGGGTGGACAAATTCATATTGCCGGCCGACTTTGTCATATTGGATTGCGAAGTGGATTTCGAAGTGCCTATTATTCTTGGAAGACCTTTCCTAGCTACGGGGAAGGCATTGGTTGATGTGGAAGCAGGGGAGTTAACATTCCGTGTGGGAGATGAGAAGGTGGTATTTCATGTGTGCAAGTCAATGAGGCAACCCAATAGTACGGAGGTGTGTTCATTTGTGGACATTGTCACGGCGGTGATAGTGGATGACACAAGTGCTTTGATTAATGTTGAAGATCCTCTTGAAGCCGTGCTTCTTAACATGGATGCCAATGATGATGCCGGTAGAGTGGAGTGCGTGAATGCATTGCATGGAATGGGTTCATATTCATATGAGCCTAGGAAACTATCTTTGGATCTTGAAAATCGCAAAACTCCGCCAACCAAGCCATCAATTGAGGAGCCACCGGTGTTGGAGTTGAAACCACTTCCTCCACACCTCAGGTATGAATTCTTGGGCTCTAATTCTACTCTTCCAGTTATTCTTTCTTCTTGCCTTACTAACTTGCAGGTTGAGGCCACTGTGGAGGTGCTTCAAAAGCGAAAAAGGGCAATAGGATGGACTTTGGCGGACATCAGGGGAATAAGCCCCGCATTTTGCATGCATAAGATCATCTTGGAGGAGGATGCACGGCCATCTCTTGAACATCAAAGGAGACTCAACGAGGTGATGCAAGAAGTAGTAAAGAAAGAGGTTATCAAGTGGCTTGACGCCGGTGTGGTTTACCCGATCTCGGACAGTTCATGGACCTCTCCGGTCCAATGTGTGCCAAAGAAGGGTGGAATGACGGTAGTGACCAATGCCAACAATGAGTTGATTCCTACTCGGACAGTTACGGGTTGGAGAGTGTGTATGGACTATAGAAAGCTGAACAAGGTGACAAGAAAAGATCATTTCCCACTACCATTCTTGGACCAAATGCTTGATCGTCTTGCGGGCCGGGCCTTTTATTGTTTTCTAGATGGCTACTCGGGGTATAATCAAATTCTCATTGCCCCGGAGGATCAGGAGAAGACAACCTTTACATGTCCTTATGGCACGTTCGCTTTCTCGAGAATGCCATTCGGACTATGTAATGCCCCAGCGACCTTCCAAAGATGTATGATGGCAATTTTCACCGACATGGTGGAGGATATCTTGGAGGTATTCATGGACGACTTCAGTGTGGTGGGAGATTCATTTGAAGAATGTTTGGTGAACTTGGATAGGGTTTTGGCAAGATGTGAAGAAACCAACCTTGTGCTCAACTGGGAGAAATGTCACTTTATGGTGCAAGAGGGAATTGTATTGGGTCACAAAATCTCAAGGCAAGGAATTGAAGTTGATAAGGCAAAAATAGAGGTTATCTCAAGGCTCCCTCCCCCTACTTCTGTCAAAGGGGTGAGGAGTTTTCTTGGTCATGCCGGGTTCTACCGGCGATTCATTAAAGATTTTTCAAAAATTGTGAACCCGCTTTGCAAGTTGTTAGAGAAGGATGTCAAGTTTATTTTTGATGAGAAGTGCATGGAGTCTTTTGAGCTATTGAAACACAAGTTGACAACAACTCCTATAATCACCGCACCTAATTGGGATTTGCCTTTTGAACTTATGTGCGATGCGAGTGATGTAGCGGTTGGGGCGGTGCTAGGCCAAAGGATCAACAAAATGTTCCATCCTGTGTATTATGCTAGCAAGACTATGAATGAGGCCCAGAGAAACTACACAGTGACAGAAAAGGAGCTATTGGCTATTGTGTTCGCGATGGAGAAATTTCGACCTTACCTTATGGGAGCAAAGGTGATCATACACACGGACCATGCAGCCCTTCGGTATTTGATGACTAAGAAGGATTCGAAAGCAAGATTGATGAGATGGGTGCTACTCCTTCAGGAATTTGATTTAGAGATTGTGGATAGAAAGGGAAGCGAGAATCAAGTTGCAGACCATTTGTCCCGATTAGAGGAAGATGGGAGACCAAGTGATGGTATTGAGATTAATGATAGGTTCCCTGACGAGCAGCTTCTTTCCGTTTCTATGTGTGAAATGCCATGGTTCGCGGACATCGCCAACTTCATTGTGACTGGTAACGTCCCGTGTGAGCTCTCTTCCAACCAAAGGAAGAAACTCAAGCGGGATAGTTTGGATTTCTATTGGGATGATCCGTATTTGTTTAGAATTTGCACGGATGGAGTGATAAGAAGATGTGTACCGGAAAGTGAACAAATGAGCATATTGGAGGCTTGTCACTCTTCTCCCTATGGTGGCCATCACGGGGGGGTGAGGACGGCCTCAAAAGTTTTGAGTTGCGGATTCTATTGGCCGACGCTGTTCAAGGATGCTAGTGAATTGGTGAAGAGATGTGATGCATGTCAAAGAGCCGGCGGTATTTCCAAGAAGGATGAGATGCCCCTCAATACAATTCTCGAGGTGGATATTTTTGATGTTTGGGGCATCGATTTCATGGGTCCGTTCGTGAGCTCTTGTGGTAACACTTACATTCTCGTGGCGGTGGACTATGTCTCAAAGTGGGTGGAAGCCGTGGCTCTACCCAACAATGAAGCCCGAAGTGTTGTAGCATTCTTGAAAAAGAGTATCTTCACGAGGTTTGGTACTCCTCGGGCCATTATTAGTGATGGGGGGTCCCATTTTTGCAACAAGGCTTTCGACTCATTGCTTGCTAAGTATGGAGTTAACCACAAAGTGACCACCCCCTATCATCCACAAGCTAGCGGTCAAGTGGAAGTCTCAAATCGGGAAATAAAGAGTATTTTGTCCAAAACGGTGAATGCTAATAGGACCGATTGGTCGAAGAAATTGGATGATGCTCTTTGGGCTTATCGGACGGCTTACAAGACTCCAATTGGTATGTCTCCGTATTGGTTGGTGTTTGGTAAGGCTTGCCATCTTCCGGTGGAATTAGAACACAAGGCTATGTGGGCGTTGAGAAAGTTGAACTTGGAATGGGATGTTGCAGCCAATCTCCGTGTGGAGCAATTGAATGAACTTGATGAGTTTAGATTTCATGCCTACTCCAGCTCGTCCTTGTATAAGGACAAGATGAAGTACCTTCACGACAAATATGCTCGGGGTAAGGAGTTCAAGGTGGGCGACATGGTTCTTCTTTTCAACTCCCGGTTGAGGTTATTTCCGGGCAAGCTCAAGTCTAAGTGGAGTGGTCCTTTTGAAGTGGTATTTGTGACTCCTTTTGGTGCTCTTGATCTCAAAAACAAGAATGGTGAAGTATTCCGGGTCAATGGGCATCGTTTCAAGCATTATTTGGGAAAGTTTGATGATAGCCATGTGGTGGCACTCATTCATTTGAAGTGATATGATGGTAACATGCGTCGTGCCGCGACGTTAAATCAGGCGCTTCTTGGGAGGCAACCCATGTCTTTTTCTATTTCTTTGATTTTCTTTGTAGACTAGGATTTTTGAGCTAATGGTTTGCGAGATGTTGCAGGGATAATGTTGAAGCAGTGCAAAACAAAGGCACAAAATGTCAGGTCTCTGAAGTTTGCCAGCGCGGCCGCGCTACATATCAGTGCGGTCCGCGCTGGCTTGTGCAAGGATGTCTTAAGCCTCTGAAGTTACCAGCGCGGCCGCGTAGCATATTCGTGCGGTCCGCGCTGGGAGGATCCAATTATTCATGCTCTCTGAAGTTTCACACGCGGCCGTGCTACATAACAGTGCGGTCCGTGTGGGAAACTAGGTTCAAGTGTGCTAGACATAAACCCAGCGCGGTTCGGGCCATTTTTGCGCGGCCGCGCTGGTAGGTAAGTAGGGGGTCCCATTGTTTTCTATAAATAGAGACCTTAGGCCTCACTTTACCCTTTTCGCACTTTGACTTCCTGAGCCCTAATTTCTACTGTTCATCTGCGACTAATCCGCTGAGCTTGCATCAAGTAGTTTGATTCTTCATAATCCCTGGTAACATTTCTTGCAAATTTCATTCATTAGTTTTAATTTTTAATTATTTTGTTTGCTTCCCAGTAGTATAGCTTCTTATTTCTTCCCATTTTTTTCTTAGGTTTAATGATTAGATTAGTTTTTTGTGTTAGTCTGGAACACTGGGCATGAATTACTATATGGCTAATTGAGTAGGGACAACTAGGACTCAAAGACTTGATGAAAAATGGACCAAAATGCTAAACCCTAACTCAGTTCAATTACATGGCCCAGCGCGGCCGCGCGTCCTTTCTGCGCGGTCGTGTCACATTTTTGCGCGGTCCGCGCTGGCCCAACGCGGCCGCGTTCCACATCAGTGCGGACCGCGTTGGGGAGATTCAGAGAGGTGATTTTTGGAGGTTTATGCCAAGTGCAGCCGAGCTTTACTTTTGCGCGGTCCGCGCCCCTGTGTCCTGCTTCTGTGTTCTGCAAATTAACTGTGTCTTCCTCTTGTGTTATTCATCTATTCCACTGTATGTGCTTAAACTAACAATGTTAGATGCGTGTTTCTGCAGATCGTGGTTAAACAAAGAGGTGGTAAACAAGTTCAACAACCCGGGAGAGGTGGTGCCTCCCGAGGGGGTAAGGGCAAGAAAATAGCTAAACTCACTCCCCAAGCTCGGGCAAACATCAAAAAGACCCGGAAACTGCTACGAGCTGCTGATAGGGCTGCCTCCCACTCTTTGGGGAGTAAGTATGCACCCTCCCGGAGCATCTCCTCAGAGTCAGCCCCCACTCACATAACTGACCCACTCCAATTACATGACACTCCTCCACCTTCACCCTCATCCAAAAGACCAGTCAACGTAGTCTCGGATTCGTCTGATGAGTCCGTAGCAGGCAGTGGTGAACAATACTCCACCTCCCCCACAGCTTCATTATCTGGGGAGAGTGCAGGATACGGTGAGGGAGGTGAGCCTCAAGTCGGGGGAATTGAACGAACCAGAAAACCTGAAGCATGGGCAGACAGATTTGTGAGTGAGTTGGCATTCCATAAATTCAGAGAGTGGTGGCCTGTGAGGAAATTGATCCCGGAGAGAACTTTCATTGACATAGACCTTCTACCCCACAACCCGAACGTGCAAAAGGAATTCCGAACTAGATATGGCTGGGACTTCTTCAAGGAGAAATGTATTGATGCCAATGAACATATGGTGAAAGAATTTTATTGCAATGTTTCTCACATAGTCAAATATACTAAGGTGACGAAGGTGAGAGACAAAATGGTAGTGTTTGATGGGAAGTTGCTGAATGATTACTTGGGGTTCAGGGAGGAGGATGACTCAGAGTATTTAGCTAAGCTGGCAATGGGTGAAGAAGTGCGTCCTTGGTTGGCCGACTACTTGGCAGCCTCGGGCACTATTCCAAAATGGTTGAAAGCAGGGGAGAAGATTCTGCGGAACACCTTCAGTTTTGAAGTTAAGGGTTGGTTGACGTTTGTTTGTAGTAGACTTGATCCTTCCACCCATGATCACACAGTTCCTCTTGCCCGGGCTGTTCTTGTGGCATCCATCATGGCTGGGCTTCCTCTCAATGTGGGTGACATCATCTCGAGACTGATCTCCGCTGTCGGACAGGAGACCAACACAAACTACCCTTTCCCTAACACCCTGTCCATGTACTTCAGGAATTTGGAGGTCAAGAAAAAATGTTTTGATGTCAACATAAAGCCGGTGGCCCCCTATTCATGGATAGCCAGTGGGTCAGACACCGAAAAATCCAAGAGTACCAGCCAGCCACCTCTGCCCCAACTGGCCCGTCTGAGGAGCCAGTTGCGGTAGAGCCTTCTACTGGACCGTCCTCTATCCCTGCCACTTCCACCAGTGAGCCCTTGCCCCCAGGTCCTTCTACTTCAGCTGACCTGGCAGTCCCTTTATCAATGACTCATCGGTTTACTCCCACCATCTCAGTCAGTCTTTAGCCAGTCTGAACAACTGGATGTCAGCTGCGACATCCAAGTTATCCACCTTGGCTACTACAGTTGAGGCCCAGTCAGCACCAGCCACTATTCAGATTCCTCCTTCTATTGAGGAGACATCGAAAAAGCTCCTGGCCAACCAAGAGAAGATATTAGAGACTCAGGCCACCTTGACTAAGGCGGTAGATTCGCATGGTAAGGCTTTGAAGGAGCTTGCCAAGGAACATAAGAAGATGAGAAAGTCAAGGGCGTCGAGGGAGTCGGTGAAGAAGCTTCGAGCTGATGTAGACAAGCTATTGGCAGACCAGATGCCATTAGACTTGCTATTTGGGGATCCAACCCTAGACCCAGCAGCATCTCAGCCACAACAGGAGGAGGAGCCTAGGCACCCAAGAAAGAAGAGGAAGCTTCCTAGCAATGAGGGTGTAGTGATCGAGGTAGCACAGGTTCAGGAGGGTCCCTCCAGTGTTGCACCGGATGTTCAGCCGGTCCATGACCTGGCCCTTGTCCCAGCAGCAGAGCAACAGCAAGCCGGGAACCAGTCTGAGGTTCCCGCCAGTACAGAGGACCAGGGGACCACTGAGGAGCCCATGCAGACGGATCAGGCTTAGGGAGCCCCTTCTATATCCTTTGATCTTATTTTGTGCTTATTTGTGTAGTTGGCATTGGGGACAATGCCAGCTCTTATTCGTGGGGGTGTGCCCTACCTTTTTGGATTATCTGGATGATTGTATATATTAGATTCTTACTTTATGTCTTTTTCTATTTCTAGTTGGTCTGTATATAAATTCACATTTTAGCTACTCTTCTCGTATTTTTATTCTCTTTTGGTCTGTATATAAAGTACTTTTGGTAGATATTCATCCCCGTTGTATATTCTACTCCCCTATTGTACATATTCATTCGGCTTTTCTATTTTTCGTTAAAAAAAATTTCGTTTTTAGCTTCGTAGATAGGCTCGTAGCCTTTTGTTTTGGTTTTGGCATTTTCAATAAGCCCTTGGTTTTCTTAATGCCACGGTTCTCTCCAAGGGTAGAGTGTTGTGTGAACCGGGTGGCTCTTCCCAATGATAGATGACGTGACAACCTTCTTAAGAGTTTGAGTCTGTTTCTTTGATTTTTCTTTTGTCTTTTGATATTTCGTAGTTAAGGGTACCTCAGGAAAAGCTTCACTTGGGCCTAACACATTTGCCTTTGATCCCATGGTCAAAGACATAAGGTTGTGTTTAGGGTATGGTGAAAGTCGTGGCCTTGAGACTCTTGTGTTGACCAAACAATCATCATGTGGTCTTTTTGGACCATTGTGCGCTTGAATCATGACTAAGGTCGTTGTGGTCCCTCAACTCGATATCTTTAGCAATCCCCTAGCATGTGTGGTGAGAAATAGAATTTTGAGTCCAAGTCCCAAGCCAATGGTCTAGAACTTGCCCCGAGTGTTTGTTGAGGCGAAATCATAGGTGAAGTTTGACTTAAGAAGTGACTATAGGCTCTCCTTGATCCGATTCTAAAATGAACAATTCCATGGCCCACCAACAAAATGATCCCTAGTTAACCCTTTTGAGCCTTAAACCTTCTTCTTTCATGAACCAATGTTACAAGCCTATACCCGTTTTTACCCTCTCTTGGCACCCACACTTCCCTTGAGCAATGGCAAAGTCAAAGTTTGGGGGGAGAGACAAGAAGGAAAACAAAAAGGGAAAAAGGTACTAAAGCAAAAAGAGAAAGGCAAGGCAATGAAAAAGAGAAAAAGAAAAGGACAAAAAGAAAGAACAAGGTGAAAAAGAATAAAAAGGGGTCAAGAAAAATAAAAGTGAAAAAGGTGTGGAAACAAAAGTAGAAAAAGGAGGAATGATTTGAATTGCCTAAGAAAGAGTGACAATATGTCCCTCTAGCCCTTGAAAATAAGTGGATTACTCAAATGAGTCAAGAAAGTGTGCCAAAATGAATCAAAGAAAGTGCTTAAGGGAAGGTTGAACACATTTGAACAAAACATGTCCTACCCTTACCCAAAAGCCCTCGCAATTGTTTTCCCAAAATCCCTATAGGATCTTGAGTCGAAGGGAACCTACATTAGTGGATACTTACATAAGGGGCAAGCATATGGTACCTAGAGCCGGACTTGTGACCTTCTTTGTGAGAGAAATGAGTGGAAGTCCTTCAACCTCAGTTTGTGTGTCAATACTCTAAAAGGTGAGGTTGGCTTAGGGAGAGTTGAGGATGTGTGAGTTTGGATTCCACAATGACCAAGGTATTTGAGAAAAAGCCCTTTGATTTGAAATGTGTCAACCCTTGATGCTCTTGTGTCATACTTGATCCATAGTTTTCAAAAGCCTAAAATGTGTTAATGATGCATTCGTGTTGAGGGCAATTGTTAGTCCCAATTGATGCTTGTTGAGGTTACTTTAGGATAGCTGGAATTCTTGGATTACTCTTTTTGGGGTGGGTCTTATTTTGTTTGCTTGAGGACAAGCAAAGGTTTAAGTTTGGGGGAGTTGATAAGTTAGGATTTTACCATGATTATACCCCTTACTTGCTATTGCTTTTGTTACAAATTGCCACAAAATAATCCCAAAAGGCTTACAAGTTGTGCTTGATTGCAGGTTTGAGCGAAAAGGTGACAAATGTCAAAGATCGGCTCAAAACGGAGTGAAACTTGCCAAGTGTCAAGGGACAAGTGAAGTTGAGGAACAGGAAGGACCTAGCGCGGACCGCACTGATATGCCACGCGGCCGGCGCTAGGAGATTCAGAGAAGGGGTAAATTGAAGTGCAAGCCAGCAGCCGCGCTCCATTTCTGCGCGGTCAGCGCAAGGGAAGCTTCAGAGAACCACCAGTGCAAGCCATGCGGCCGCGCTCCATTTTGCGCGGTCCGCATCGACCCTTCGCCGCGGCCGCGCTACATTTCTGCGCTGTCCGCGGCCCCAACATCAGAGATGAGATTTTGAGAGTTCAAAGTACGCGGCCACGCTACCCTTTTTTGCCCGGTCCGCGCTGACCCCGCAGGGGTATTTTTGTCCAGATTTTCAGCTCGGTATAATAGATCTTTTTACCATTTTTTAGGTTATGTTTTAGCTTTGAGCGAAGGCTGCGCTCGTGAGACGTGTTGTGTAGCCTATTTTGGCATTTTTACTCTTGAATATCATAGATTCTAATTAGCAATCAATTAACATGTTCATTTCATCTTATATTTCTACTGTTTCTTCTTTAATTATGTCTAGCTAAACCCATTAGCTAAGGTTGGGGCTCAACCCTAGTGTGGGTAGTTAATGGGTGTTGCATTCTAGGGCGAGATTGAGATTGGGTATTTGTTATATGGGTTAATTTTGTGTTTCAATCTAGAATTTGTGGTTGCAAACATGAATTCAAGCTTAGTGGGTCTAACTCTTCTTGAGAAAGAGAGTCATATGACCCTAAAAGTTGACCTAACAAGGAATTGGGATGGACCCATGAGAATGGTAGTCCCAATTAACGGGTTAAACCTCGAAAGAGTAACTACCCTACTTGAGCCCTAGTTGCTCGGTCTAATTGGCCTACCTAATTGGTCTCGAGAGAGTCAATTGGGAAAAATCGTTCTCTCTACCGAGAGGTGTGAGAATGAGTGCAATTGTGCAACAGTTATAGCAATAAACCCAGATTTATCAATCTACCCTTAGTAGTTTCTACCCATTAGCTAGCCACCTAGGTAGTGTCACGACCCTAGTGCCTTTTTCCTATATTAAGCACAACTTAGCAATATTCTCCTAGCATAATTTAGTTTAAACCATTAGTTTTACAAGAGTAGTTTAAAAAGAAACCCCCAAAAATGTGTGAAGCGACATTAGAAGCACAACCGCAACTCTAGGCTAGACAGATATTCTAACTCCTTTACTAGCTCCCTGTGTAATTTCGACCCCGATCCACTATTCGGGTATTAGTTATTGCTACCCACTCTTCCTACCATTGTGTAGTGTTGAGACGGCTGCGATCAGGGAGCTAGTTTTTTAAAGAAGATTTCTAGTGTAATTCGGACCCCTGTCTTTGCTGATGAGTGCACTACTAAGCAGACTCGAGTATCCTATGCTCGAATGCTTGTTGAAGTTAATGTAACCAAAGAACTGCCCACTGGGATCATGTTTATGGACCCTTATGTGAAGAAGTTTCAACAGTCTGTAACTATGAGTGGAAACTTGCTTACTGTGATAAATGTTTGGTTGTGGGATATAAATGTGCTAGTCAGGCACACCCTGTTATACAGCAACCAAATCAAATAAGGAGGGCAAGAGGTAACAAGGTTGTTACACAAGAATGGAGAACCAAAGGGCCCATACATGTTGCAACTAAGCCTAAAAATGCAATACAAACTGCACATGTTGAACCAAAATTGGAGGGTAACAATGTAAAAGTTGCATGCCAAACATGAGTAACAAGGATAGTTGATCCTAGGGGGACTAAAGAGCCATCTCAACAAAACACAACCTTACCTGTAATTGCAATGGAGAAGCAAGATGACAGGGGCAAAGCTAGCACTGAACTTAACTTCACCAACTTCCCAGTTTTGACCCCTCTCTTAGTGAAGAGTTGATTTGAAGTTGTGTCAACAAGTAGATATGAGGATCAAATACCATCTAGGGATAGAGGTGGAAGTACCATGCTCCTGTGATGAATTGGTTATTCTAGAACATTAGGGGTGTAAATTAAAGGTATAAGCAAAAGGAGGTAAGACAGTATATTAAAGTAAATAAAATTAAGTTGGTGCGACTCATATAAACTAAAGTGAAGGAACAGAATGCTCAAAAGATTGCAAAAGCTATTGCATCTGGTTGGAATGTGCTAACAAACTACCAAGATGCACTCAATGATAGAATCTGGATACTATGGGATACCAATAGCCTATTGGTTAATGGTATTAACTATGAAGCTCAAATGATACACTATCAGGTAAAAAGTAGAAGAAGTGATATTGATTGCTTACTCACAGTAGTGTATGGATACAATGGTATTGAACAAAGAAGAACCCTCTGGGATACTCTGCAACAACTTTCAGTGAGTATAGCAGTCCCTTGGATGATAACTTGGGATTTTAATGCAATGTTATACTCCAATGACAGGCTATCTGGCAACCCAGTAAACTACTCAGAAATTCAAGACTTTGTTTCTTGCCTTCATAGCAGTTCACTAACAGAACTACCTTGGAAAGGTGATTATTATACATGGTCTAACAAGCAACATGGATCTGATAGGGTCAGCAGTAGGTTAGATAGGGTGTTTGGGAATTATGAATGGATGATGTCCTAGGGTCATGTAGAAACAAGCTACGGATTGCCTCAAATATCTGATCATGCTCCTATGCTCCTAACTTTCACATCTTCCACATGGAAAGGTAAAGTGCCTTTCAGATTCTTTAACATATGGGCAGAACATGATGACTTCTCTCAAGTAGTTACTAGCATATGGAGTTCACATAGTTCACAAGGTAGTTTGAAATCAGTTAGGGCAAGCTTAAAAGATCTGAAACCTGCTTTGAAAGCTCTGAATTCTAAGAAATTTAGGGGTATAACTCAGAAAATTGAGAAGGCTATACTTGAGCTGAGTGACATACAAGAAAAAATTTCACATGGTTGCATTGATACTCTACTTAATATGGAGAAAGAAGCTTTGCTGAACCTTGAGAAGTGGTTTTTACTTGAAGAAAGTGTCCTTCAATAGAAATCTAGAGCAAATTGGATACAATTGGGGGATTCAAACTCTAAGTATTTCACAGTAGTGATGAACGATAGAGCTCAAAAGAAAAAAATCACAGAAATTACAACTTTGCTAAGAGATAAGCTGACTGATCCTGATGCTATCAAAAGAGAAACTATTGACTACTACAAAAGTTTAATGGGAACAATTTCAACTACTTTGCTTGCCATGAATAGAACATACATGAAGCATGGGTCTATACTAACTCACCAACATAGGGTGGATCTATGTGCAGAAGTGACCAATCAAGGGATTGTTGAGAGTCTTGAAGCAATTGGTGATGATAAAGCTCCATGCATTAATGGCTTTAATGAAATTTTCTTCAAGAAAGCATGGGACATTATCAATATACAGATCATAGATGCTATGAAAAAGTTCTTTACAACTGGGAAGCTCTATAAGGCCATCAATTGCACTACTGTTACACTGGTGCCTAAAGTGAACAAACCTACCACAGTCAAAGAGTATAGATCAATAGCCCGTTGTTCAATCCTTTACAAGATGATCTCTAAAATCTTGGCCTACAGATTACAGAAAGTCATGCCTTACATCATTTGTGAGTCTCAAGAAGGCTTCATTCCTGGTAGAAATATTGCTAATAATGTCATTTTAGCTCATGAGGTAGTCAAATGCTAAACAAGAGCTCAGATATCTCCTAGATGCATGATAATGATTGATCTCCAAAAAGCTTATGACTCAATGGAATGGATTTTTTTGCAGCAGGTTATGGAGGAGCTTAGATTCCCTGACAAGTTTATCAGATGGATCATGGAATGTATTAAGACTGTCAACTATACTATTCGTGTTAATGGGGAAACCACAAAACCATTCAATATTGCCAAAGACCTTCGACAAGGGGATCCTATTTCCCTTTTTATCTTTGCTATAATGATCGAAGAAGGAATCTTCCCTTTTTATCTTTGCTATAGTGATCGAAGAAGGAACCTGAGTAGAACACTGCATGGACTGAAGAAGGAATCTGACTTCCAATATCATCCCAGATGTAGTAAACTTGGTATCACTCATATGAGTTTTGCTGATGAACTCCTTTTATTTTCCAAGGGTAATCTCTCTAATGTGGCTACACTATACAAATGATTTACCCAATTCTCTTAGACATCATGCTTACAGGATAATCTAGGCAAAAGTTTTCTGTATGTTGGTGGTGTAAAGCAAGCTCTGAAGGACCAGATACTGTCACACCTGGGATTTGCAAGTGGTTCTCTACCCTTCAAGTACCTAGGCATCCATTTGTCTGCAAAGAAAATAGCTCTCATATAGTGGCAACCATTGATTGAAAAGATCACAACTAAGATTTCCTCATGTGCTGCTAAGAAGTTGTCTTATATTGGTCGTATGCAGTCGGTCCATTCTTTAATCTTTGGTATACAAGCATACTAGGCTTTATTGTTTATCTTACCTGCTAAGGTACTGAAAATAATAGTGGCATTATGTAGAAGTTACATCTGGTCAAGAACTAATACAATAACCAAAAAGTCCTTAATAGCATAGGAAAAGATCTGCACCACCACGTCAGCTAGTGGACTTAACCTCATCAACCTACATCTATGGAATAAAGTTGTTATTGCAAAATCTTGCTGGGACTTAGCTCATAAACAGGACAAGCTATGGATAAGGTGGATCAATGCATATTATATCAAACACCAACAGCTACAACAAATTCCTATACCTCAGCAAGCCAGTTGGATGGTGAAACAAATAATAGGATCCAGAACAACATTGATGTATACACAAATTATATATGATGACAGGAAAAGTATTATTAGACAAATATACCTGTAGCTCCTAGGTGAATTACCAAGAGTAAATTAGAAATATCTGATTTCTGCTAGGCCAAAGGCAGTCTTCACTATGTGGTTGTTGCTACATGAAAGATTACTAATTAACTAAAGATAAACTAGCCAGCTCGGGTATAACTGTTACCCCTCAATGTGTTATGTGTCAAGATCATAATGAATCAAGGGAGCATCTGTTTGTCACATGCCCATACATTGTTGAACTGTGGAAGAAATTAAAGTGATGTCTTGGGTCCAAAGATCACATATGCCTGCCACTTGCAGGGATCAACATCTTCAGTGGATCATCAATCAGGGAAAAGGGAAGTCACAGAATACTAGCATCTTCAAAATGATCTATGCTAAGGTTTCACATGCAATATGGATAGAGAGAGGCACGCGTATATTTGAAGAAAGATATCGAATAAATGATGTGCTGGTGCACGAGATAGCATACACATGCAATGCTAGAGTAGCTGCTCGAGCTAGGAGCTACATACAAAAGTTTTGGCTAGGAACAGAATAGTTTGAATAGTTGTTTTGTATATAGGTATGGTTTGCATCTGTTTTTCATTTCGAGATAGCCAGCTGAGTTAGCATGGCTATGGTTTTGTACAGATCTCCTTTGGTGATTAATACAAAAGAAAGTTAATTACTAAAAAAAAATGTAAAACGGAGAAAAAAAACAACAGAAGATAAGTTAGCATGGGGAGTCAACTGTATCTTTTTCTGCAATGGCGAGAAATATAATAATTTCTAAAAAGAGCAAATATTAGTCAAACTCTAGCATGAGAAAGAGTTAAATAAATGAGACAAATTAATAAGACGTAATCCCTAAATCAATTGATTTCAACCCTTTCGAGGATGAGGGATAAATGGGAACAGGAGTTTAATTTCTTATAATTATATAAGTAAATATTTATAACAAGTATCAACTGTAATATATACGACTAGCTAGTAAAAGTTATACCAAACTAGTTAAAACATGCTAAACTACACTAGCTTAGTGTAAAAAAAATCTCTATATTATTATAAAAAGTCACTTAAACTTCAATAGTAAGTCAACTAAGCAGAGCGCTATTATATACTAGTTGATTGTACGTACTGTTGATTGTTTACCCTAAAATTCGAGTAATAATTAAATTTGTATTGTGGTTTTAAGAATTTGTGATTTAACTCAACACCAATTGATAAACAAGGAATTAAATAGATAAATTAAAGAATGAAGCAGATCAAACCAGTGTGTAAGCTAAATCTCGACTTTGACCTGTGACAGTCTCGAGGTATGATGATGGGGATAAAAGGTAAAACACCTCTAAAGAACAGTAAATGAAATAGCAAGAGAGTAATGCGCGTATATTTTCTTATCAGTAAATAGTGTGTTACAAATGAATGGGATCCCCCTTTATATAATAGGGGAGTCCTAAACAAGGTACACTTCTAATTACAGTAGGAAATCATATTTGACTACTGTCTAACTGCTGAAGACCAATCCATTCCGAAATTTACGCCGTGATCTTCGGCCCGTTGCGGGTATCACGCTCTTTCCATTATTGAATCATAACGGTATCATCTCGAGGCATGCCTTCTTCTGACCTCGGTAAATGATATCGACCTCGACATTGGAAATGAGCTTCGACCCCGAGCTCGGCGTCTTGGCCTTCCGACGTGGTATCATGTTTTCCATCGAAGCACGAAATTGGGTAGCCTCGATTTCTACTGTATGCAGATAGTCCCCTTGTTTCTTAAAATAAAATGATAAGAAACGACTTGAGCCTCGATTTTTTAGAGGTCCCGATAATGACATCATCCCCATGACGTAAGCGCTCGAGGTGATCGAAACGCCCCGTCGGTTCGATTCCCCAAAATATTAAATGCTTGGCAGTGACGGTCGGCCACTAGCTCCACCGAACCGTCGCCGTGAACCTATAAATACAGGTTTCCCATTTGAATCAAAACTTTAATTTCATCCTTCACCAATTTCTCTAAATCTTTTCCTCTCTCCATCTATTCTCTTCCACCGCCCGTTGATTCGATCTTTTAGGACCAAAAACACCAAACTCCACTTCTTTTCACTTCATCTCCTCTGAATCAATGGCGAAAACCTCCAAAATCGTCCCTCAAACGGAGAAAGCCTCTTCTTCTTCCCGCCCGGCTGGTGACAAAACGTCGGTGGAACCGCTCTTTCACGAGATTGTTCCCGGCCCTTGCGTCCTAAAAAATGACTTCAAAGTCGAGAACCCTCCGTCGGTCCCTGGCCGATATGAACACGTATCGAGATATATTTGCTCGATAACGGTGAAACAGCTCGACGTCGTGAAGGAAGAATGCAACTGGGGGCCCGAGGTCGTGGTACAGATCCCTGCCCCCCGAAGAAAGCATCACTACTCACGTGGAGGGGTTTCTAAGTGTTTACACTTACCCCTTCACATTGGGTCCCCTCGACCCAGTTATCATCGATTTCTGCAAGAAATACCAGGCTACCCTCGGTCAGGTGCCCCCTCATTTGGGCACATAGTGATTATGCTCCACTTCTTCTCTGGTAAGGCCAAGGGGTTGGAATTCACTCTCATCCATCCTATACGACTGTATCGACCAAAGCACTATCGAGGATTAATCAAGCTTCAATGCCGATTGATAAAGTCCTTTTTTTTCAAGCATCGATGAGGACAAAGATCGAGGTTGGATGAGCCAGTTCGTGCGGGTAAGGACCTGCGACCTCATCCCCGAGGAGAAGCTGTTGTTCCCCGAGAAGTGGAACCCCGATCGTAAGTATTAGCCACTAATATTCGTATTTTATTTTTTGGTTTGGGTAACACTTTCATATGTTATGCAGCAGTTGCCTGGATGCCTCACGCGGTCCCTAATCTTGAAGACTGGGTTCAGAACCTGGCTACAATTTCCTTTTATGCCGAGCGCCACTGGCATGACTTGGCAAAGGGTAGATGGGAGACTAAAAATCATGGTAAGTTCATTTTTTATGCTTATGACGTCCTTTTTTGGAACATTTCCTCTTACACATATCTGACTTCCTTTTACACAGGCCTCGGGGATATTGCTGAATTGAGGCCGGCCCCGCCGGGGGAAGAGGTGGCTCCCAAACCGGCCAAGGACAAAAAGCGGAGAAGGGCCTCGCCTTCCAATACCCCGGAGCCTAAGAAGATTAGGGCTCGTAAGCCGAAGGACAGCTCCGCTGTTCTGTCTACTGGCGTAGCACAAAAGCTACGAGATGAAAAGAGGAGCGAGAAGATGCCGGTTGTGAGCCAGTGCCTCGAAAGAGGGGGAGCGACGAGGCTCCAAAAATAGTTGAGCCGGTGATGGTTGAGGAGACTCCTCCTCGGATCGAGGAGATCTTGGAAGGTACTCCGAGCAAATTCCCTGAGCCATCGAGGGTAAAAGATACTTCCTGCTGTGATAAGCAAACAGTGAGTGTGACCGAAGGGTCCGGTAGTAGGGCTCTTCGGAAGGGAGAGAGTACCCCAAGTGACTAGCTTGGGGCAATTAATATCGATGATTCGCCGCCCGGCCCTCAATTCTCCGAAGGGCAGTTCGGGAAGCTTGATCCTTGGAGACCCCCGATGTGGGAACGGCCCAAGATGGGGAAGACATATTTCGTGGCTGCCTTGCAGGGGTCGATGACGTTTCCGACCTAGATGCGACGATGGTTTTTGACGAGGCCCATCGTATCTAGAACCAGGTAAACTTCATTCCCCGTTATTATGTTTGCTTTTATCTCATCCTCGCTGATTTCTTTCCCTTCTCCATAGGTTGTGGTGCTCCACCGGGAAACGTTCAACAAGTCCCGAGCCGAGCTGAGCTGGTGTGAGGCCAATCTCAAAAGGCTTACTGAGGAGAGAGATACCCTCAAATGCCTTTATGTGCAGAAAGGGGAGGATCTCAGAGACCTCCGAGCTGAATTGGCCAAGGCACGTAAGGAAGAGGCCGAGCTAGATGAGCAAATAACTAACCTTTTGAAAGAGTACGGTCTCTACCCACCTGTGGAGGCTAATACTTTTATATCTCAGTTACAGCAAAAGCTGGAAAGGATTGAGTTGCTTCGAGGGGAGGTCGACCAAGTCAAAGCCGACTATGATCGATGGAAGGAGAACATGGACCGCCTTGCTGCAGAGAAAGAGGCTGCTTTGGCCAAACTAGCGTCGGTCGAGGTCGAACTTCGCGGTGCTAAAGAGAAAGGTTCAGCCCAGGCCAAAAGAATCGAGGAGCTCGAAGCCATGCTTGCTGAGGCCAAGGCAGAGGTCGGGGAGACGAAGATTGCGGCTGACAAATCCATAGCCGTGTACTTGGCAGATGCCGAGGCTGATCAAACACAGCTAAGGGAGGCTTCCGCTCGAGAGCGACGAAGCAATGACTTGGCGAAGTGCCAATCCCGGAGGGAAACCCTCAAGGAAATCCATGCTCGAGGTTTTGACCTCTCTGAAGAGATAGCTAAGGCTAAGGCGCTTGAAGCTGATGCCAGGTTTCTTGTCTCCTCCTCCTCCTCCGACGTTGATGATGAAAGCAGCCAGGGTAGGTTCGATAACGATGAGGGGCTCGAAGAAGAAGCTGCACCCAAGGGAGAAACTAGCCCCGTGCATAATTAGGTTTTTATTTTTCTTTCCTTTTTGTAAGACCCCTGTCGGTCTCTTGTACATATACTTCTTCATCAATATATATAAAATAAAAATTTCTCTTGAATGCCTTCTCGATTTTTATTAACATGTTTTTTGCCTTGTAAAATTTTCAACACAACCTTATACTTTGAAAGGTGCGTTCGAGACTTTAGTTTTGGTGACTTCCTCGAAATTACCATGGTCGAGTTTGAATAAGGTTTGAACTCGAGGCATAGGCCCTTTAGGGTTTGTGTCGGATAATGGTGAGTCCCCGACCATAGTCAAGTTATTCTTTATTTGTGCTCGGGATAGTTGAACCCTTGGGTTCGGATGGAGTTCGAATAAGGTCTCAAACTCTAAGTGTATTGGCCCTTAGGCTTTTTAGATTTGGCCGATATGGCCTCTAAAAGATGGCTACTATTCCCCTCTTTTGACTTAAAATACTTAGTGAAAATTTCTTTATGCCTTAGCATGTATTTTTTACCTATTGGGTTTTTTGAGGGTTCGATGTCGATTGAAACCCTTCTGCTTTTTGTGCCTTAGCACGTTTGTGTTAAGATAGTTTGATACCTCTTAAGGTTTTTTGAGGACTGATTTTATTGAAGCCCTTTTGATTATTTGCCGAGGGTAGCCTTTTTTAACCGGTTTTTCAAAGAATTTGAACGCCTATTGTGATTGCGGGATTCGGACGTCTGTCCGCATTAATTTGGCCGTAGCCTTTGGGTATGCCTCTTGGGCTTATTTCCCAATAACACTTCGAACTTGTTCGAAGTGTTAGTCCCTGAGAATGATGGCCTTGGCCTATAGATCGGGGGTGCCTCTTTGAGGTCTTATAAATTCGAGCTTAGGTAACTCGAATATGTCGATCATCGATGACAGTCCCCGAGTGTTCAAGGTACATTTGCGCTTGGCCCTTGAGCTATTTCTTACAAAACCATAAGTACGAAGCTCGTATAGTAGAAAGTTTTCTTTGAGACACAAAGTGTTTGATATAGAATGAATGCTTCTTGAAATAATTTGTACATGCGTACATGTTTTGCCATCGGGGCTTGACTAATCTATATGGACACGGTTCATTCGACCGTTTGGCCCATTACAAAGTTTCCCTATCAAGACCCTTTGACATGAAGTATTTTCCTCGAAAATATAACCTCCGAGGCTGATGCCCCCCCAGTATTCGAGGTTGATTGAAAAGAAGCCTTGGATAGTGTTGAATTTTCCTCAGGTAGAACATAATTGTTGCCTCGTTAAAAACCTCACTGGAAAACCCATTTGAATGATAGTTTTGTTCGTTTCAAATTCTGAATGATAGTTTTATTCGTTGACTCGGCCTGTCCATTTCCACTTGGGTGATACGGCGTCGATAAGATCCTTTTTATTTTATGTTCTTCAAGAAACCTCATTACCTTGCTGCCGATGAATTGCTTTTCGTTGTCACATACGATTTCGGCAGGTATCCCGAATCGGCACACGATGTGATCCCAGATGAAGTCTATAACTTCTTTTTCCCTGACCTTCTCGAAGGCCTGTGCTTCCACCCATTTAGAAAAGTAGTCAGTCATAAACAAAATGAATTTAGCTTTACCTGGAGCCAATGGCAGAGGGCCGACGATATCCATCCCCCATTTCATGAATGGCCATAAGGACATGACTGAATGAAGTTGTTCTCTGGACTGGTGGATCATCGGTGCAAACCTTTGACATTTATCGCATTTTTGAACAAACTCCTTAGTGTCTTTTTCCATGCTATCCCAGTAGTACCGTGCTCTAATTGATTTTGTGAATCAAAGATTCGGCGCCGAAGTGGTTCCCACAAGTGACTTCATGGATCTCTCGTAAAATATAATCAGTGTCCCCTGGCCCTAAACATACTGCCAATGGTATAATGTTCCATCTTCATCCAATATGAATCGTGCAGCTTTGGTTCATAGGGTCCTCGACTCTTTAGGGTCCAATGGGAGCTTTCCGTTCTTCAAATATTCAATATATTTATTCCTCCAGTCCCAGGTCAAGCTTGTAGAGTTTATCTCGGCATGACCTTCCTCGATCACGGATCTCGAGAGTTGAATAAAAGTCCCCGAGCTTATCTCATCTTCTTTGTCCGATGACACCAGATTTGCAAGTGCATCGACCTCACTGTTTTGTTCTCGAGGTACATGTTGTAAAGTCCATTCTTTGAAATGGTGCAAAGTTACCCTACAGCTTGTCCAAATACCTTTGCATTCTATCCTCTCGAACTTCGAAGGTTTTGTTTACTTGGTTCACCACCAGTAAAGAGTCACACTTAGCTTCAATAACTTTTGCTCCCAAGCTTTTAGCTAGCTCGAGACCTACAATCATGGCCTCGTACTCGGCCTCATTGTTAGTCAACCTAGAAGTTTTGATAGACTACCTAATAGTGCTACCCGTGGGTGGCTTCAGAACGATGCCTAACCCGGACCCCTTCACATTCTAAGCACCGTCTGTGACAAGGGACACACCCTCGATGATGTGCCTGATTTTAACAAAAGTTCTTTCTCAACTTCGGATACGAGGGTTGGCGTGAAATCGGCCACGAAGTCCGCCAACATTTGGGACTTGGATGGTCGTTCGTGGTTGGTACTTGATGTCATACCCACTGAGTTCGACAGGCCATTTGGCCAATCGGCCCGATAGTTCGGGCTTGTGCAAAATATTACGAAGTTGGAAAGTGGTTAATACGCATATGGGGTGACATTGAAAATATGGTTTCAACTTTCTAGAAGCGCTTATCAGTGCAAGTGCTAATTTCTCTAATTGTAGATACCTAGTTTCTGCTTCTCCTAAGGTTTGACTTACATAATAAATGAGAAATTGCGTACCTTGCTCTTCCCGAACTAGGACACCACTTATCGCGATTTCCGATACTGCCAAGTACAAGTAAAGTTTCTTATCTGCCTTTGGAGTGTGAAGCAGTGGTGGGCTCGACAAGTATTGCTTCAGTTCCTCTAATGCTTTTTGGCACTCCAGGGTCCAAGTGAATTCGTTTTTCTTTTTGAGCAAAGAGAAAAACTTGTGGCTTCGATCCGACGACCTCGAGATGAATAGGCCTAAAGCAGCTATCCGTCCAGTTAGCCTTTGTACGGATTTTACACTATCCATAACGGTGATGTCTTCGATGGCCTTGATTTTATCGGGGTTGATCTCGATCCCCCGGTTCGACACCATAAAGCCCAGGAATTTGCCCGAATCGACCCCAAAAGCACCATTCTCGGGGTTGAGCTTCATGTTATATTTCCTCAAAATCTCGAACGTTTCCTGCAATTGAGCCAAATAGTCCTCTGCGCACAGGGACTTAACTAGTACATCATCGATATAAACTTCCATTGACTTACCTATTTGTTCTTCGAACATTTTATTTACTAGGCATCGGTAAGTAGCCCTAACATTTTTTAGCCCGAAGGGCATTACATTATAGAAATACGTTCCATACTTGGTCTTTTCCTGGTCTTCCGGGTTTATTTGAATTTGGTTATATCCGGAATAGGCATCGAGAAAGGTAAGGATCTCGTGGCCAGCCGTGTCGATCATGCGATCGATGTTAGGTAGTGAAAAAGAATATTTGGGGCATGCCTTGTTGAAATCCTTATAGTCTACACACTTTCTAAGTATGTTCCCTTTTTTAGGGACTACGACTACATTGGCTAGCCATTCGGGATATTTTACCTCTCGAATGGACCCTATTTTGAGAAGTTTGGTTACCTCCTCCTTTATGAATGCGTGCTTTACCTCGGACTGGGGCCTTCTCTTTTGTTTCACTGGTTTGAACCTGGGGTCAAGGCTTAGCCGATATGTTGTTATCTCCGGTGGAATCCCTATCATGTCTAAGTGGGACCAAGCAAAACAATCCATGTTATCAATAAAAAATTGAATAAGCTTTTTCCTGAGGTTGGGGGTTAACCCCATTCCCAGGTATACCTTTCGTTCGAGCAAATACTTGATCAGTATAACCTGTTCCAGCTCTTCGATTGTTGATTTGGTGGCGTCGGAGTCTTCGGGAACAATAAAGGTTCGAGGGGTCAGAAAGTCCTCCTCTTCTTCTTCTACCTCCTGCTTTCCCGATTCGGGCGAGGCTGGTGGTTGTGATTGCTATTTGGCTTCTTGTTTACATGTGATGCTCGACCTTTCCGAAAGTGATAGCATTTATATCGGTGTTACCTCATCGACCGGGAATATTTCCTTTGCGGCATGGTGCTCCCCGTATACTATTTTTACACCGTCCGTCGTCAGAAATTTCATCATTTGGTGAAGAGTCGAGGGGACTGCCGTCATGTTGTGGATCCAAGGCCTTCCGAGTAGAGCGTTATACCTCATGTCGCCCTCGATCATGTGGAATTTGGGATCTTGAATGGTTCCAGCTACGTTCACTGGTAAAATAATGTCCCTTTTAGTTGGTTCACTGGCCATCTTGAAGCCGTTTAAGACCCGAGCTGCGGGCACGATTTGATCTTGTAGGCCGAGTTGCTCCACGACCCTCGATCGGATGATATTTGCTGAGCTACCTGGATCCACTAAAACATGCTTAACTTGAACTTTATTTAATAAGATAGAAATTACCAGAGCATCGTTGTGTGGCAGAGAAATGCCTTCTGCTTCTTCGTCATTGAATGATAAGAAGCCTTCGGGCACATAATCTCTGGTTTGTTTTCCCTAGTGATTGACACCTTAGTGCGTTTGAATGTGGGTCCCTGTGGATCATCGACCCCACCAACGATCATGTGGATGACATGTTGGGGTTCCTCTTGTTCATTTTTCCTGATGGCATCTCTTTCACTGAAATGATTCTTAGCTCGATCGCCGAGGAACTCTCGAAGGTGACCCTCGTTGAATAGACGAGCTACCTCTTCCCTTAGTTTCCTGCAATCCTCGGTTTTGTAACCATGTGTGCCATGATACTTGCACATCAAATTTGGGTTTCTTTGGGAAGGATCGATTTGTGTGGGTCTGGGCCACCTAGTATCTTTGATCCTGCC